TGTGTGTGTGTGTGTGTTAGTGTCTGCCGCAGACTCAGCTGTGACCTCTCTCATAATTCCTTCTAATCAGTAAGCAGCCCAGTTGGATTTGGAAGAGTACCTTCTGCCACCAGCACAAATCTCACTGACTGGGATGTGTGTGTGTAAATTAGAGAGTGAAGAAGGGAAAGAGCTACTAAAAGTCATGTAGTTTAATTGTTATATCATTACTTTGTTAAATGGCACCTTCTTTTAATTTATGTTACCATTTATATATCCTATTATATATCCCATTTTAAATCAATCAATCAATCAATCAATAACATTGGGATTAAATATGCCCCTTCTACCAAAACAGGTCATATTTATGTGTACCAAAACCATGTGACCTATATCAAACGCATTCTAATTCCTCACAGTGTTTGCACAAGACCCTTATTATAAATAAATAAACTAAACATTTATCAAGAGTGTAAAATAAACAAATAAAACCCAATAATCAAACAAACAAAACACAAAACAATACAGGTAAAACATAACAAAACAAAACAAGTACAGATAATTATTTTTGGGCTTAAAAATATACTTTTATCACATAAAATTCCTCTTTATTAGTAAACCATCTCCTGACTCTGAGGTTGTTGCTTTCTTGTATACCATGGGCATTCTTTATATGAAGAACTCCTGAGTTAATGTGCATATTTCATGTAATACCATATGCACTGACAGCCAATGAAATCCGAAGGATTATTCAGGCGTAAAGGGGATTGAGTCAGGGGAAAGCACATTCAAACTACTGTAGTCAGCAGATCTGGATACCGGGCGCTTCATATAGGACCACTGGATACTGAAAGGTGCTTTATCTGGTGAGTACTGGTTACCATAATGTTTATGAGTATCGACCAAAGCATGGACAATTTATCTCTAACTGTATAGATGACTGAATGTTACAAGCATTTATACTAACTATTTAGCATTACATTTTAAACTTTTTCACAAGTTTAAACAGCACAACTGATTTTTTCTCCTTTCTTTGAATATGTTTCAACTAAGGCCTTACCTTTAAGGCTAAGATTTATATTATTGGGTAGTTGATGTCTTTAAGGTTTCTTGGAAGGTTCCTTCTGGAATATCAGGATGATGCTAAACACAGAAGTCTCATGGAATAAAGTTTTAACAGACAACAATATCAAAGGCCTCTTTGACTGCTTACGAGGCCTCTATACTGAAGGTAAGAATTCAATGTCTTATATTGTACCTGTGCTTACTCTCAATCCAATATAGATCACAGTGATGTGACACAAATTGTCTGATGTGCTGTTTCTCTATAGGTGAAGGGGATGCGAGTGAACGTGTGGCCAGTTTTAACAGCTGGCTTGAGAGATCAGCAGAACTGGCCAAGAAGGAGCTGTTAATGCTCTGTGAGTAGGTGAAATCTTATTAAACATTGAGGTTTACCTTT